AGACATTATCCAAGAAATTGATGTAAGTGAAAGTGAATGCTGATCGTAAAATTCGCAATTTCTTTCCCTTTTTTTCTTTCTACACTGACAATATGAAGTGTCAAAAAAGTGTGTGCTCATACTTATGCACTATTGGAATAAAAATAGAGTACACATACGTTTTTGTGTGCGTGTACACTTACGTTTGTGTGTGTGTGGTGTGTGTGTGTGTGTGCGTGTGTGTGTGCTTACATCTGAGATCAAATTTGCTACAGTGAAAAACCCCCTGTTGTGAAAATTTTCTTGCTGCAAACATGATTTCGTTGTAGAGGAGTTTCACTGTACTCTGTAGGAGTACTCGTACGCTACATCATGAGAAAGGGTCACTAGCCAGGTTACAGACCTATCAGTTCATGGAAAGACCGCTCATTAAAACGTCTACGTTTCTGTTAGTTTATGGATGTTGATGCTGGTACCAAGGGAATGCTTTGTCTTTGGGGGTCCACAGGGGGCGACCCAATGGGGCCGTCCAGGGGTCTGGTATGTAAATGAAGATGGGAGTGTTTTTCTGATGTATTACTTGTAATTTGCATACCCAATCAATAAAAAAGCCGGCAGAGGCTGCAGAGGTCGGGTGACAGTGGGAAGCACACACTGAGTGGCTTCATGGGGAACTGCACCTCCTGTCTGCAGTGAAAGACAATTTATTGCCGAGTTTGAGACTTTGTCAACTGTCCGAGCGAAAATCTCTGACATTACTTGGGGGCTCGTGTTCGGGTGGGAACGCCTCTCCTGCGGTTGGCGATCTGCAGCGACTGAACCAAATCGGTGCACCGTCAGAGCCTACTGGGACATTGAAGACCTCTTTACTCGGGGCCGCCAATCCGTCGGACCTGGGCAGGCTTGACGAGTGGGACAGGTTGCTGGAAATTTGAGGTCAGTCTGATTTGTGTAGTACAGGCCTGGTAACTCCGGAATCAGAAGGTAGTTTACATGGTTTTCGTGTAGCTATCTAAACTTTAGTGTTTTGGACTGCAACTTCAGTGGCATGAGAGTACAGGGCGGGTAGCCCCGGAAACGGGAGTTAGCTTCAGGGGCAAAGGGCCTGATCAGTCCTGTGTGAGTGTCTGTGTCTGTGCGTGTTGGAGTGAATGTCGCGAGCCTGACGCATGAGTGTCGCGCGGGCTATTTCCTGTGTGTGCATATGTCTGGTTGGGTGTTACGATACCGTGCGGTGCCGTAACCCATATAATACGCAGTGGGATTGTAAACAGCAGACTTATGTGGATGCATTATGCAAGAAAATCCCACCCCTCGGGTTGAAGTGGATATTACCACGATTGTAAATTTGTCTTGCTGTCCTACTGATGAAATCCAGTTTTAGTGGCCGCCCTATGCGGTTGTAAACTGGACCAAATTGGGATTAAACACGAACAAAAAAAAAAAAAAGGAGGGGAAGAAGGGGAACCACTTCCGGGTCACTTCCGGGTTGAGTGAACGCTGGCGCGTCTGGCTGCCGCTGCTCACCCGCTATTATTCTTTTTTAGCGTTTGTTTTACGGGTTTTTCTACGGTTTACTCTTGTCATGGGAGAAACCCTCCTCTCCTGTCGCAATTCGTTGTGGTTTTGGACAGTCGGTCGTCGCACGGTTGTCCTCGGTCGCGCTGTCCTGCCTGTTCGGCTGTCGGACGGTGCTCCGTGCCTTCTCCGCCCCTCTGCGCCCCGTGGTGGGGGTCGACGGGGCCTGTGTCTGGGCTACGCTGCTGTGGACCGTCCTGTCGCTCCTCCGTCTGCCCGTGGGGGGACTGCTGCGGTGCTCAGCCCTTCTTGGGCTCCGCTTCCGGTGATCGGGCTCCCCGCCTGCATTGCACCGTTTCCCGGGCGTCGCTCCTCGTCCTTCCCGGAGGTGCATCCGCCGTGGATCTCGTCGGGGCTTCCACCTCG